AACAATGCCTCCGGAATCACCTACTTTCCAATGACAAAATGTTTCCGAGTAGTTGCCAAGTCGATAACAACGTGTGTCATGGCGTGCACACACGACTGCTTTTATGACTAGCTGAAACAGTGGTCCATAGCAGGATTAGTGGGCGCGGTTGCCTTTGTAAATGATTGCAAACATGCTGTAGGAACGCCCGGGGATGAGACAACAGTGTTTGTCTGTTCCAAGTACTCACCTGAATTACCAGAGTGAAATGCGTGCGTCGCCACTACTTATTAGCCTTGCGCTTCTTCTAGCAGGACGATGTGGCGTGTATAAATACGGTAGTCATTGTAGCCCCCTTTAGGTGGTTCTTTGCTGAGCAATGCCGATTTCATGAGGATAGCATTCCAGTCCATAGACGTTATAGGGAGGTTCCATCTGTATTGACTATGCTTCTAATGATTCCATTTGGAGAGCCACTTGTTAAAGCGTCTCAACACATGTGGGCGACCATATGAAAGTAAAGCCTAATTATCCTATAAATACATAGGTTCCTATGACCTTTAAATAACGCCATACATGGAGACACTGAAGCGATAACTGATTAACAAAGTCGCCTACGGGTGTGGAGACAAACGAACACTCAGTAACGTCGTGTCAACGTCACACTTGGAATCCTCTTAGTTTATGTTTAGTCATCAACTGTGATAGAAGTAAGCAAACACAGAACTTTCGTTGTTCAGCTTCATGTTGGTCTTCCAACTTCAATGGGAACAATGTCCCCCATCTTCGTCGCAATAACAATCGCACAAGATTGCCTAACCGCCTAGCAGCCATTGCTGATTCAGGTTTGGGTGTGCAGTGTCCAAGCCACGTCGCATGTCTGAGCAACCGCAAATGCAGGCCTGCCTCACTCCCTCAGATCTCATAGACTGTGGAATACCAGTTAGAAGATTGCCTGTCTACGCCACCATGGTTAGGTCGCTGAATAAACCACCGCCAGGTCGCTGCTAGCGAGCACTAAGTATAGACCGTTTCGTGTGTTGGTTAGTATGTCTGTCCGCACTGGTTACGGTATAAGCCTCGGATCATGTGATAGCTAGAATCTTCTCCCTAGACAGGCATCACAAGTTGCCCATTGGACGATTTCAGTTTGAAGACCAATCATCGGGGTTTCCTTCAGATGGGCATCAAGATAGAACACGATATGGTGCTCGACCACTTTCATTGGACTGTCTGTCGTTTGTGCTCGGGGGCTTCCAACCGGTGTCCCATTGACTAACGTCCTATAACCAATGAGAGTGTCAACGACGCCAAAACAGCGTTCTTAGCCTCGCTAACTTGAAAGCACTGCACGCGATTTTGAAAATGAGTCATGTTGAAAGCTTGGTACAATGCGCCAACATGCATTGAAAATGGCATAGAGATCTAGATAAATATCTGGTGCGTATAGGAGACTCACCTGGAAGACTCGATATCTGTGTGCACTTCGCGATTCCCTTGAGGTGACATAGTAGTGCTTTCTTACTACGTTTATCGGTAGATGAATCAGTCTCAATTGTCGGCTAAGGCGGTGTGAGTATTGCACTGATTCGCCGGGATGAAGCTGCTCTGGTTGTTTGGTTCCCAATCAGTGTGCGGATGTGTGCCATCTGGCCGTGTAGCTAGTTCAAAGCTTCAAGTCGAGCGCAGACCGACGGTGCCTGTTTGGTATTGCGGCCTACGTGCCCACAAATCGTAGAGCTTACTTAGTGAAAGACGAATTCTACTGCGAAATGAAGGAGCTCCTGCGCCACAAAAGAACAGACACAGCAGTGGTGACTGAAAGCTCAAGTTGGAAAACCCTCAACTGATGAGCTGCATCTGGGCGGCCAACATGGTGTAGGATCTCGTAATTATAACGGTGAACGGTTACTTCATCTGTGTGAAGATGCTGGCCTATATTTCGTGAGTACTAACTTCCGAACAGCACCCGCCGGAGGGTGACATGGCGCTAACTAGCCATGGACGCAAATCGATTACATTGATATAAGTTACAACAGGAGAGATTGTATCCAAGACTGTCGCGCGATTTGCAGCGCGAACACGGACACTGATCACGTTCTTGCATGTGATGATCTGCGAGTGCGTTTTGGCGGACATGCCCAACGAAGCTGGGTGCGCATGAACATCAGCCAAATGGCGAAAACCTATGTTCTAAATGAGTATCCAAGCACGCTGGCATCCGGGCTGAGTAAAAGTCCACTAAACAGTTGAAGATTAATGATCGTACATTCGCCAGATTTTACTATCAGCAGACATGTCTTCATGTGGCAAATCAAACTGCGAACCTATACAGACATGTTCCGGCTGTAAGGGAAGCATCGGTAATCACTTGTAGTTTTTCCGTCTGACAAGGGAAACGGGCAGTAGTAGACCTAGTGTTAGCGAGAGTGGACATCCCAGCTTAAGGTTGGCAATATGTTTGGAACGCTAGCCCGAACATTTTGAAACAGTTTAATCAACTTGAGTCCTCAGCTTGCTTTTCAGGCATCGATTACCAACTCCCCTGGTCGTCCCCGTGGATCAGCATACATATACACACAGAAGTGGAACGTGAGATCAGACTGATGAAATTGATTAAGGTTGCAGGGGCAGATAGACCTCCTCCAGATTTTTTCAAATTCGGGGGAAAAGCGCTTATGGATGATTTGCACAACTTATCAGTGAAGCTGTGGGGGCAGAAAACAGTGCCAGCAGACTGGATCCACTTGTTTTTATTTCCAATTTTCAAGGAAGGGTCACATTCGCAATGCAGTAATGAGAGAGAAATCAGTCTGGTCTCATTTGCCTTCAAAGTACTAACGTCTGCCGATCTCGATAGACTGTCTGGAGAATGTGAAAGATTCATGTGGAGCAAGCCGGGTTTCGTCGAAGTCGAGGCTACATTGACCATATCTTTACGTCGAGTCAGTTGTTGAAACGTCATGTTTATTGGCAACCCACTGCAGTCGTGTTGTTAGACAGTAAAGGTGCCTTCGATTCGGTGTGCGCTTTGGGACTGTATGCTCAAGAAAGGTGTGTCCGAGAAATAGGTAAACATTATCAGAGCGCTGTACGCGCATAGTACGAGTATAATAAAGGTTAAGTTAAACGGGTGCCGCCCCATGATATCACACGCGGTGTAAGACGAGGTTTCCTGCCGTCACTTTTCCTCTTGAAATTCGCTACTGACAGTCATGGAAACGGCGCTCGCTGGACACGACCTACAAGATGTGGCGCTGTCCTCTGGTGAGCGACTTCTTGCCGACGACATTACCCTCATCTGACAGATTCTAAAAGTGGTAAGAAGCACAGGCTGCCGGTTGTTTTGGGCTATGCTTCGCATCCTTGAAATGCAAAGTCCTTCTCTAAGATTGGCAAGGACCCACCCATGCACTGACCCTCGGTAGTGATCAGTTAGAAGTCGTTTAGCATAGTTGGCAGCTGTGGTAGCGCCCGCGGGATCGAAGATAAGGATACGGACCGTATGACAAAAGCTCAAGGCGATTTTACCAATCCCCGCCACATGTGACGTCCACGCGACATCACTCTCGTCCTGAAGGGCCAAGTTTATAATGCAACAGTCCATTCAACCTTCTTGTATGGATGCGTAACCTGGCTCAACAGGTCGAAAAACTTAGGGGCCTGTTACGTTCGAGCATCGCTGCCTTCGCAGTTTAGCTCATGTCTGGTAGGAATGCAGCGTGAGTAATGAACGCGTTCGGGATCGCGTATTTTGTGTAGGAGGAATAAGAGAGACGCTCAGCACCATTACATCACGCACCAACCTCCGATGGACCACGTGTTGCATATGCCAGCACACCGACTCCCGCGTCGTTTGCGCGACCGAGGTGTGGATGGCAGAAGAGGGGAGGACAGGCGATAAAAACCCTCACTTTGAAGTTGGCGTCGGTTGGTGTTTTCTGCTGCCGGGCTGCGGTCAGAAGGACGATGAACATGTCAAGCTGGATACCCTTGATGACATTGCGAAGAGCCGGCCCCAGTGGTGTTGTGTTTCTTTGTCCCACCTCTTCCCGTTTATCTTCCTCCAAACAAAGATCTCATACCCAGTGCGCAATTTGATATCGTGCATAAGATTACTCGTTTGTTAGTTTTTGTAGTCTGTAATGGTTAAAGTAGTAGCTTTTTTGGATTGCGGCACACTAGCTGGTGTGTTTCTCACCAGCACCTAACTTGTATTGATGATGAGGAGAGAGTAGATTGTAGAATGCCACTAGATCCCTTGGGTCTCGTTTTGGATTAGCAAACGGCTAAGCGCAAAAAACGAAATCTAGTGAACAATTACAAATGCTTAATTTTTGTGAACACAAAAGTGTTGCCTATCACCTCTAAACAATGAGCGACGGCATCGTTATCAGCTAACGTTGGCAAAGCTGCACAAATTGAACTGGTGCCAACCGCCCACATCACCGGAACAGGATTGAAGTGACCGGGTCCGTTACCCCCAGCATTATAAACATCTTTCAGGAGGCAATGGTATTCATAGCTGAAATGTCCTGTATTAGACCGCATGGGGTAGGTGAAGTCCAAATATAACTCTGATTCCTCTCCCAAAGCTGTCTATTTAAGGACAAGGCATCACTATACTTAAACCCTTCCCCCATTCCCATACAGAATTTATCCATGTATGGTTTGAACGTTCGGCGTTTTTACTTCACACTGTTAGAATATCCTTGACTCCACTAGATCAAATATTTCACCTTTGACAGACTGACGATTGGTGAATTGCTACGTTGTAACATTTTCGCATGACTTACCGTGTCTGCCCATTTTTCCTTACGATTGCAAACCTAATCGTAGGTTGTCTACTGCATTTAATTTGAATCATAGAATTAGGACAACAGGAATTTCCTCAACCCAGACCGTGCGTAAAGTCTAGGTTCACAAGCCTATTTATCGTTGCCGTCTCGTGCGAGTTACTTAGTCTAGACTCCGTAACGTCGCTACAGGGTACACATTCGGCAGAGAGACAAGCATAACTTCGCTATCCAGATTAGAGATATTTGCCAGACTGGATACACTGAAGAATAGTATGGGCGCACTATGGGTTAGGCTAAGAGACTCGCGTTACACTCAAGCAGTGAAAGTAAAACACTGAAGGAAATTAAAGAAGTGAGCCCATCAGTGAGGAAAACTTGGAAAGAACAAAGGCATATGTAACGAAGAATGAAGTGAGCTAATCTCAAAAAAGGTTTCGGCCATGTCCCAGTCCTGCGCCCGATAAACACCAAATGGGGGAAAGGGCCGGTGAACGAAAACAAAGAGGCAAAAGGCACGAGTCGCCATTGTGCGGTGAAAAACCGGCGTGTGGTATCGTCAAAATTATTAGTAGGTGTAAGGCCTCACAGTGAACCCATCAGTGACAGACCAACTTTGAGAAATAATTCTGACATAAATTAATGCCGATTACCTTCCCTATCATTCTACCTTAGACGGTAGTGGTGGTAAGAAAGAGGATGAGCCATCGACTGAGAAAATTTTCCGTTGCACTTTGGGATTATTCCACAGTGCCCCAATACGTGAGCCTTCTTGAAAAGTGCGCATCAAGACACACACACACAGCGGTCTCGGGTGCAAGAAGCTACGGTTCAGCTTGATGAGCACGAGTACTCTGTTGGTACGTCCACATAAACGAATAGATGTGTTACACTGATGGAATAGTTTTAGCTGACAACACACGCACATAAGGATTCACTCTTCTGAAGCTTAATCAAAGTGATTGCAAGCTTGGATGTAAGGTGAAGAGTGATTATCGTGTGAGAGTCAAAGAACATACATAAAACAAGTGTGTACATGAAGGAAAATAGGGCGCATGAGAAAAACAAACGATATGCGTCATTCTTTTGATGCGTCTGATGGGGAACCTTCCATCGGTTTCAAACTACTGACATTAGTGACTTCAAGAAAGGTATTCAGTAGAACCGATTGACAAGATTGATCTGAGTGGGTAGTAGCCTCTTTGGGAGTGAAAGGTAATGAGTCCACATTGGTTGCAAAAGCAGTCGGAACCCCAGGGATGATGTCCTCATCGTTTGACCCAGAAGGTGCATTCACGGCGTCCTCAGTAGCCGAGGCGCTTGGTGCAGTGGGGAATGGATCTGAGATAGCGTCGGAAGACTCGAAGCGTTCGAGGAAGCGATAGAAGTCATGTGCGTTAGTTGGATTAAATATGCTAATTTTAAGTCCCTCGGTACCAGATGAAGTTAATGACGGCACCGTAGTAGATGAGGCTTGAACATGTTTCACGACAGTCGTGTCCGAAGTGCTAGGCTGTGGAGATAAAACCCGATGATTAGCGCTTGTAGTAGGTTCATCCTCATTGGACAATATGACTTCCCGTTTTAGCTCCTGTGATTGTTCAGAAACTTGTGCGTTGTCACATAAATCTCTAAAATTGGGCGTAGACGGAGCATTGCTGCCATCATCCGATATTAGAATGGGGGACGAATGTGTGTTTAGAATCACAGCGGGCTGCCGATGAGAAAGACGCGAATAACGATGATGACGAGGACGTAGGCAGCAACGAGATGAATGCCTGCCACAACGATGTTTGTGTCGAATTTTGTGACGTGAGCCATGGACATGGTGCCGATAATGATGATGCGTGTGATCACGATGTTTGTATGGTTGACAGCAGCAGTGCAACATGCGACGGGGGCGGATAGAGGTGTGACTAGATGACCGATGTGAATTCCTCCTGCAGGATTGGCAACTGGAAGAGTCAGACTGACAGCTAGAGGAGCGTGATCGTGAATGATGAGAAGAGGAGGAGTGGCTATCCAAACTGATATACTCTCTCAACACTTCGCAATCGCTATTATCACTTTCCAGACGAATAGGGCTGCGTGAATGATGACGAGATTGACGACGAGCACACCGTGCGGAAGGACTTCCATGTCCCAAGTGGGTACGAGAGAAAAGTAAGCGACGCAGGGGTTCAGTAGATCTAGAAGTAGAAGTGCGCTCAAGGTACTTCAATATGCCGGACAGAAATGCGTCCATTTTGGCCAGCTTGGGCGGTAAGGGCGCGTCGGTGTAATGAGGTTCCCCAAAGGTGGGGATGTGTGGTGTGGAAGTAGATGTATCATTCTGACGCTTGGTCCCGGTGGTAATGCTGGGAGCATTGTGAGACACCCCCTCTTCAAAACGCTCGTCTATATCCATTGGTTCCTCCGCAGCCCGAGCATTATCTCTTTGTATAAGTTTGCTAAGGTTGGATGCTGACGCCAAACTGGCAGATTCATCAAGCGGGGCAGCCGTCACGGTGGGTAAACTGGGATCATTCGTTTCGGTCCGAACCGGGGAAGAATGTGGATGCATTACCGACGGACTAAGTTTCTGTTCCCGTTGAGAAGTGAAGTCCATCGCCGCAAGGGACTCGTGGCCGAAACTGGTATTCCTAGAAGCACGAGATAAATGAGCCGAAGAAATCGCATTTCGCTCGTCCTCAGAATCATCCGCCGTTAATAGGTAAGGCGAATTAGCTTGACGTTCGTGCGACTGTTCTTCCTCCGCAGAAGAATCGGAAGAAATGACGACACACGGGGGAACTGGGTCACGCCAGCCGGTCTCAGTGATGCTGCTCGGACGTAACAAACTGTCGGACCGTCGACGCCGATTTTCGCCCAATGACAAGGAATCAAGTGAGAACTGAGGAGTATGTGAGGCACCAAAAGTGACCGATTGCGAGTCAGATGCAATGGTCACTGTGAGCTCAGGGTCCGAACTGTGTTCAGACGCAGCAACGGAAACAGGCGCCGTAATGCGAGACGAGCGATCACCGAGGGAGTTCCAAGGTAACTGGAGTAAAAAATTCCAATCCGTCCCGGAAAAACTTGCACGCCGTGTGTCTCGGTCTCTCGAGTGGTTAGCGGACAATGAAGTGTGCTGTGTGTTAGAGGTGAGATCGATAAATTGTGTGGCACGAGGAGTTGCACCTACGGGCAAAAGGGGTGTATGCAGAAGCTCACCCATCCAATCCTCCTCTGAGTCTACTATACCAGGTATCCGGGCGGTAAAGAGAAGCAACAGGCCATTCAATCGGCGCAGTGCCGAAGATTGTGCATCCAAAGCAGGCCTTAGGCGGCTACTAAGAGGACATTCAACGGCAACAGAAGATGAAGTTAGGGAGGCGGGTGATGGTGTGCCAAGTTCCGCAGGCTCTTGTGAACACCTCAAATAAGAGAGCAAACTGTCCGCGAATGGTAAATTGAACGAATCACTTGGTATATGTGAATCCTCAGAGGCAGTGTTGTTCCGTTGCACCGCTCCAGATCGTCGTGTGTGATATTCGTGGAAATAAGAAGAAAGTGCCTCACTGAACCGTGCTTGGTCGATCATCTCACTCAACACACGCTGGTACACCAAACGACTCGGATAGAGTTCCGCATTGGTCATATGACCCACGGGTGCGGTGTCGTGCGAATCACGTTCTGATCGAGCGTTGTTCATTCTACGCGTTTCCGATCGAACATGGAGCCGTTCAGGAGGTGGAAGAGCTTCTAACAAAGCGCGAGAAGTGCTAGCTAGCCGTAAACAATTGGGATGACAGAGAGTGGAAGTTAACGGTGGAACAACGGTTTGGTCCGGTATCAAGAGAGGACATTGACCAGTGCCGCAGAGTTGGTGAGGGTGATAAGCTCCGGAAACCGAGTGTACAAACAGACGCTGTAAAAGCCAGTTCACTAATGGATGAGTGATCAGTCCTTGAGGTTGAGAAAAACCGGAGCGTAGACGAGGCCAGCATGCAGAAGCAACATAGACAGCCAAACGCGGATCGGAGGGTCGCCTGTTGCGTGCAGACCCGAGAGATGTTTCGGATGAAGCAAACATACTGTCACTGGCACGACGGCGGTATAAACACACAGCGGAATCATATTGTTCCAGGGTGCCAACGTACCGAGCAAATTGCAAGACTTCAGAAGCGAAATGAGACATGTAAGTGGTAGGTACTAGCGGAGGACGGAGTTCCGGGAAGGACGAGAGTAGTTCTACCAGGGCTACTACATCCGTGATCGGAACTGTTGTAAAGTGCTGGACAACACGTGTAGTTAGTCGATCCAACTCAGGTGTGTCAGTTAGGAATCCAGGAGATCCGCAAATCAATGGTGAGGTGACTGCGGGTCCGGCGAGATCTAGATCATCGATGAGGGATGGCTGTCCGTGTGATGTGGGCGCTGCATTTGAAGCTGATGTGTAAGCCAACCACGGTGCAATAACGCGTAGTTCCCGTCGAACGAACGCCTCCAAACGATGTCTATGCGTTTCATTACGTGCGAGAAAGTTGGGGGTGAAATTTCGCTCTAATTGTGGTCTAGAGGAAAATGAAGCAAAAGTAATGGTATCCAATCAATGAGAAGCAGAATGACATGAAATTTAATCCATAGCAGACATGAGAACATTGCAGAGATAACAGAGTAGTTCTGACTAATTGGACAAAGCATCCTCATGCGCCAATGACAATGAGATCAATGCGTTCATATACAACTCACAGAGAAACAATATATTGATGCCTCCCTTAATTTCTTTTAACGGGTTGTGAAAGACTCGTTTAGATTATAATGGACTCCTCTTAAGACGTATCCGAGAGTATCCACGGATATGCGCTGCTGAGGCAGCGACAAATTGGCTATACTGCACGGTACATACGCAAAACAAGGAATCAGACGCTGATAAAAGTAACGGTGAATAAAGAAAATCTGTAGTGCTGAAATAAGAGGATATAAAAGATACTTAATATGTACACCGGACTGGACCAACCTAATGGCGAATAAATAAGATCACATTTTGCAGAGATGGAATTATAAAGGTTTTGGACAGAGGTACACATCAAAAAGCTTGAAGATGATACGCGGTGGAAGGAAGAACCTAGAGAGAGAAACTTACTCTTCATTGAAGGGAACAGAATCAAGATCGAAGACGTAAACCAGCTGCCGTAGTAACAAGGTGTCAAGCAAAGATGAGTCTCTCGGACGAAGCGCGTTGTTCACAAGTCCGGTGAGCAAGGACCGTCGGCTTTCGGATGTGGACCTGTAGACAAGTGTGCACAGAAAATGGTATAAGAGTCGCATACACACTGGCACTTTTCGCAGATGTACCTGCAAGCCTCTCGGTGCTGCCGACATGGAGGTACGTGCAGTGAGCGCACTGTGATTGCGAATACGCCAGGGATTCCCTAGGGGGCAAATATAGTCGGACAGATAAGAAGGAATCAGTCGGAACATCCAAGTTAACGAAAGAGGGACAAGCCAACGTGAACAAGTGCATGTGGGAAGAGATTTGATAAAAGTTATGGAACCAACGAGATCAGCGGGACGGCATCGAAGTAACAGAGATGGAGAAGATATCAATGCACATCTTCTCATCATACAGTTCAAAGTTTTAAAATTCGATGTAAAGCAGCGGTATAGCAAAAGCTAGGGCGCCCGAAGTGGCCACAAGAGTTGCCACCCCCACTGGCCCTTGAGAGTCTGGAGTCCTACAAAAATTGAGGAAAGCTTCAAAAATATGAATTTTTATTACTATTACAGCCAAAGACCTAAATTCATATTAAACCATGGCTATAAAAATGAACAGCTAAAAATAAACAATGGCAAATGTGTCTAACTGCGGCGAATCTACATGAAAACATAAAGAAACAATCAGAAAGGATGTATTCTAGAGATTAACGCGTGGTTCAGACACTCAAAGTGGTCTGTTTAGCCTATCCCCGAAGTGCTAGCAGGGGCGAACCGTTTCTCGCCCCCTTCTTTTGCTAAGCCCCTGATGTAAAGGAACACATGCTTCAATACTCGTCCGTCGATGTTGCTTCAGTTTTCCCGAACGTGAGAATGTTTGGAAATGTCAATTACCCTGTCACTGCGTCGATAAGAACGAGACGAGGATACCAGGCACTTCTACTGCTGGAGGAGCAGTTGACCACACGCACGCACACATTCAACTTTAATGCAACAGCGATGAGTTCCTCAGTTGGACTATGCATTCACCGAAGTGTGGCCGTGTTGTTGGGTCGAAAACATTTTATGTTGCTTTGAACCCTTCGAAATGTCGAGAAAATCAATAATAGATCTAACCAGGAAGAAAAAGCGATAAATTTCTCCAAGGTGGAGGAAAACTTCCGTTTTTATGTTCTGTGACGGTACTGGAGTGAGCTTACAATGAAAGCGAAGAGAGTTTCAAACAACGCTTACACGCGCTTAGCTCACTAAATCTAATACAGACAAATAAAGAGTAATGAAGGCAAGTGGGGCCCACAAAACCAACGACTAATCGAAGGGCTAATACACTAGGTCAAGGCGATTCTCGGTGTAGACGCAAGCAGGAGTAAAGGTGTTAGAGATGATGGAGTTATAAAGGTTTTGTGTCTATAAGTGGCGACTGCGGCACCGAAGATTTGTGGTCGTTCGAATTCGCTTGTGCAGACGTCCAAGAACGAAACATTGGGGGCAGTAATGATGTAGCGGTCAGATTGGGCAGCCACTATACCGGATGAAAAGGAACGAACTAGAACTTTGCTGTTATTGGATTTCTAGAGTAGTAGGCCAGTAAAATCGTCGATTTGTTGCGCCGCAAATAGAGAATGATTTTGTGCATTTATTGGTGGATGAAGGAATATACTACAAAGGAACATACATTCCCGTCGTAGAATTGATGCAACTAGCAAACCCACTAACCCCGTGGAATTAACTAAAAACTTCGCAACAAACTGGAATGGCAAAGGTAAAAAGAATATAGATGGAGATTGGGTGTAGTTCACCCGAAAGTACCGCACACAGCAACCAATTTCGAAATGATTTGATGTCGTCAAGCAGAGAGCGGGCATTTGAACACGGAGCACTTAGGATGTCAGCCGGAAACTCTACTCCTAAGCCACCAGGTCGTGGCTGTTAACATTTATTACAACAATTAGTGACTAATTGTGAACATCAATATGAAGCATTCGTGTGGATGAATTGCGACGCATAATCTAAATACGGACCGCGATTCGCATTGAAGCGAACATTGGTCAAATCAATCACAGAACCGTAAATGAATTAGTTTACACAGCCTTACCCATAATCAGGATTCCAGCGATATGAGACCCGGCGAGTATCTCCGATAACGTTTGTCCCACTAGAGGATCGTGAGATGGGAGAATCCGAGGGTATCAGAATGGGTGGGATGAAAAGTGATGTGCGTGCAGATCCTCCACGAGTCATTCCGTCCAGATAGTCAAGAAATCGAACCGGCGGGGCGCCCAAGTGATAATGAAAATGATGATGAGACTGCTGTTGACCCGGGATGGGATCATCCGCGCGAAAGTCTTCCTCCGAGTCGAAATTTGCTGGGAGGCCGGTGACACGGCGAGAAGGATTATCATGATGAGCGTGCAGTTCGGAAACCAACAGTTCGGTGAAGTCGGAATCGGATAAAATGGAATGAATCACACGATGCGCGAGTCGTTTGCACAGCGGACATGAAGGGTTGATACACAACCACCGATAGATACAGTCGAAACAAAAAGTATGCATGCAAGGTAGAACGATGCTCCTATTGGATTTGGGATCCAGGCATATTACACAGTCATCGTCACCATCCGGATTGCCTGACTGAGCCGCACTCAAGGCAGCATGTAATTCCTCACTGTTCACTGAATCATCATGCGGTAGGGTAGGAAAGTTTAACCGTGTTTCAGGTGTGCGAGCAGATCGAGCCAGCCGGCGAGCAACACTGGCGCCACGTGTGCCAGATCGTGTTGTTCGCGAACGTGACGGACGGATATCGCTCACATTCTCGATGTGGACAACTTGAATTGCGTCGTCCGCCTGGGAGCGAGACGAATGTGGCTGCGTTCGACGCTCAGATCGGTCACGAGAATGATCAGATGAATGCACAGCCTGAATAGGGGAGACAGAAGCCGGCGGCGGACTGTGGTCCGGTGACAAAATCAGTCGGAATATTGGGGAACGAAGTAGAGCGCGGCGCCGGCTTAGGATGGGGGGTTTTGAGTTGACAGAAACGGCGTTCCGGTGACGCGAACTACAAGTCGGGTGGGTTGGATTATCCCACCGCTCGCGTGACGAGGTTTCTCCTTGTTCTGCACTCTTGTTGGCCCCACTTCGAGATCGTGCAGACAAGGTGGATGTCTACAGAAAAAGACATGGGGATAGATCAATGAGAAAAGAATATCGTTGCATGGTATAAAGAAAGCACTTTCACCGAGCACGGTAATGGGTGTTGCTGATCAAGGGACAAAAATAGAACCGTGAAACCGAGCGCTTTGAAAGTACCTAAGGAAGTTAACTACATAAAACAGGCGTTTAAAAGTCCTCATCCCAATGGGTCGCATTGAAGGATAGATCGCTGGGGACTTCAGGTCAATCTCGTTGAATTAGTCGATGCAGTACTGTTGTTCTTCATGTCTGAAGTTGGAAGCTCGGCGACATTTTAGACAGTAAAAATGTCGAAACGAATAGCATATGATCAGTGGCTCAGTTCCCAGCATCTAAAAATCACCTTTTCAAATTGATTTATTTATAGAACTGTGGTCGCGTCCCAATTCCGATATAACAAATGGCGGGAGGAACCGCAGCTCTGGAGATCAAACCTCTGTGGCAGTGGACGATGAACCGTACTATATCGTAGTTAGATATCAGCCACGAGGGCTTATCGCAGTCACCACCCATGACCTGGTGGCATAAGGCGACGGTATCGAGGGAACGTGAGATTGGTTCCCGGTGAAGCCCATGGATGGGTGTTACGAGCGAGTCACAACAAGACAAAAAACGCTTTGCAGTCCGGATGGAGGCTGAATGCGATGAATCGTCACTAAGTTGCATAAAAAAATCCTTATTCATAAAAAGTGATATTTCACAAGTAGAATGATGAGCGTTTACATCGTTAGTGATCAGTCCCTATGCTGGAAGTAATGCAAATTACCTGCGAGATGTCGCACGACGAGAGACTGTTTTAACTTACTCAAGTATCGCCTCATTGAGTAGGCGAGTAGGTCGTTCGGTGGATGGGCATACACGCGATCGCAGATACTTGAGGAGGTCTATCAAATCAAGAAGCTTTGTTCCTCCGAAAGAAGGCAATTTGACAGGTCATGGCGACGGCCACAAAGGTAGATGGAATGCTTATCTGACGCTGTGTAGTCAAGTGAGTGAATTTTGAAGCCAGCCCCCTATTTATAACTGACGAGTATATCAACCCGAAAAAGTTTCCCACATTAGCTTTCTATTCATAGAAGTTGGCGGTGAGAGATGGGTGGTGAAGGTACACTGGAAATGAGTGACATATGGAAAAATGAGACCATTGGACTCAAGTGGCGGACAAATGAAAAGTACACCATTCAAGAAAAAGAGGTGGGCTTCCGTCGAGGCTGGATGCTAACATGGTCTGATAGTTTGTGTGCTTCAACAATCCATTGGGCTTTATTTAATGGTATTATTTTACACCATAAGGTTAAATTATACCAGATTGGTTAGTGAGCAGAGGCTAGACAAACTCAGTCCCGTGTTCTTCCAGGCTGGACAGTGGAGTGAAGATGACTCCTTATTCCTTAAAACGGACTCTCCGTAGCCCATCGCTAAACTCCCATTGCCTCGTAGCCAGTTTTTGAACCAAGAGTTTTGGTTGGGGACCCTAATCGCCGTTCTGCTCAGGCTTGGACAACCTAGCAGTATCATGTTGGCGTAATAGAACGAGAAGTAGCCAGTTCATCAACGGTCTGGCCGTCGCAGAGAATAATTAACGGCATCATACATGCTTTATCGAGTGGGGTGGATAGGGACCAGGGTGCTACGGCCAATGTCTTCCCATTTACTTATTCCCTCATGCATCTGCAGCCTTATCGCCCAGTTGGAGATCACTTGTATCTCCCTACTTTTAGACCCACAATTTTTGGGCCTCCTTATATTGCTTTCATAGGCCCTTTCATCTAGCTTCATCTCAGACGCAGTCACAGGTCATCGCTCCACTTTAGTCGACCATTCCATGACAAACCCCTAGCAGAAAAGTACAGTTCATCCATGTCTATTCAGGGCCTGGCATGACTCAAAGTCGCATCCTGCTGCTGGTCTGTCAACAGGCAGCACTTACCGAACAGCGGAGACCTGTCGATCGATGCCTGCTGCCAGGCGAAAACGCTCTTTAGAGATTCGAGCTCCATATTCACTTAAAGACTCCATTTATGTGATAGTAGCGGCTTATTCGGAGATGAAGCCCTTTCAAATGCCTATCAAGCTGGTGTGAGTACTACACTGATCCTCGAGGTGAATCTGCTTTGGACGACTAGATTGCAGGCAGCAGCCAGATGTGTGCCGTCAGATAGGCTGGCTTATTCAAAACTTTGAAGTCATGAGAGAACAGCAGATAGCGTTCTGTCAGTAGTGTTTAGACCCTCATACACAGACGATTTAGATGGTCGACTGGACAAGATTTTTCTTCACAGAATGACTAAAGATACAGTAGTGCTGGATAATAATCTGAACGTTCGACATGGGAAATTGTCTAATGACAAACTCCATCTGGGCTGCGAACAAGGTGTGGGGTCTCGTAATGATAACGGTGAGCCGTTGTTACACTTGTGTGAAGACGGCTGCCTGATTCACGAGTGCACTAACTTCAGATATCACACAGTGTAAGGGTACATGACATCAAATAGTCACAGATTATGCATGCATGTAAACTGATCACATCGTCATAAGTTACTATTGGATGGACTGTGCACAAAAACGCTACGCACTCTGGAACATAAGTGCACATTTCGACCACGCATTTGCATGTGCCAAACGCTGGATAAGTCTCGGCAGACATCCGCGACGACTCGGTAAGCACATAGACATTGCCAACTGGTGAGGCCGCACGTTCTGACTGCGCATCTAACTACGCTGGCATCCGAGCAGTATAAGAGCCCAATGAACACAGTCCAAAATCAATGACCGTATTTTCATTAGAATACTGAATAGTTGTTGCAAGCAGCAAGAAGTGATATCTCCGTGTAGCTGCATCTAATATGATTCAGGTACAACACCCGTTGGGATGCGCTCGATATATTGTATAGCTGTAAAGTGTTTATCCAGGAATTTCTGGAATTCCGACACTGACTTTGCCTCAACCACGTACTGCGGCAGGTTGTTCAATACATTCACCACTCTCCGTTCGAAACAGTCATGGCTACGTGTGGTGAACTGTCAGGTTTGGAAACGGATCCTATGCAGAGTCCGCCGACTGGTAGATAATCATGGACACATCGCGGCTGGAAGTGAAGACAGTGAGACTCGCAAAAATCTCAAGACAAAAGTGCATGCCAAAGTGAAGAAAGACCGTAAATCTTGGTGGTCTCGTGGTACATTGAAGCTGTTGTTGCCCATGGTAGCCATGGCAAGCTTTCCCATCAGAAAAAAAACAAGTAGCAGGAGACCCAGTGTTCGCGAGATTGCGATGAGTGAGGACAACCAACACACAACTTGTCAAAACGCGTGGAGTAGTTGAACACTCTGAAAAGCAATTTAATCGGCCAGAATGGCCAGATCCTTGCCGACCAATGATCCCCTGATTCCTGGGCCGTCGCTCTGGATCAGTCCTCTCGCGCACACCGGATAATCAAAACTGAATAGCCACGGGACCCGATGGATACTCTTCAGCTTTCATTAAACCCGACGGCCTAACTCTTGTGAACGACGCAGTTTGTTTATGAAAAAGCGAAGATGGGAAGCTGACCTAACCGACTGGAGATGCTCTGTTTAGTCCCGATTTTTAAGGAGATCAAGCTCGGGATGCGGTGAGCATTGAAAGACCACTCTGAGCTCAGTCGTTTCTAGGTTGCTTGCTCCGGTCGTTCTCCTTAGACTAAGCGGTGAATGTGAAAGCCAGAGTTGAAAGTAGCAAATCGCGTTTAGTTAGACGGGTGTTGCATTGATCGCAGATTCACTCTGTCAGTTGTTAGAGCACCAACAAATATATCGGACACTTTAAGGACGTCTTCGGCCTGCTGGATTAAGGTGCAAAGTGGAACCGCCTGATTAGGAAAAGTGTCTGAGAAACTCATAAAAATTACAAGACCGTCGTACTTTCGTAATTAATGTAGACTGTAGGCTTATGGTAAACTGTCGCCGCCATTCACTATGCCTAGTGGTGTAAGACAAGGACTCGTTGTTACTTTACCTTTCAAACGGCGATTTTGACGAAGCGCAGGATACTGCGTTCACCGTACTCGAGTCAGTGTGTCGACGATAGTGCCCTGGTCTGTAACAGCTAGAAGGCCAGCTAAGAAGAGTTAGATAGATTAGCACCAACAGTTAGCCGTCTCGGGCTTCGCTTTGTGCTCTCTAAATGCAAAGCTTTCATCCAAGATTTTGAGGGACCAAACCTTATGCTGACCCTCGGTGATCATAAAGAAACGCAACTACATGGGCAGCCATACTAGCGCCTGTGAAATAGAAGATGAGGTCATAAACCGCATAGCAAAAACGAGGCATTTTTGTTAGGCTCATCACTTGGTGCGACTCATCATTCCCATTGCTCTGAAGAGTAGTAGTCTATGATGCTGCAATCCGTTCAATCCTACTGTACGGTTGCGAAACGGCCCATTAGATCCATAGACGTAAAGAGGCTAGTTGCGTTTAGTCACCGATCCCTCCGCAGTGGGAGCACCGCGTGAGAAATGAGCGTGTTCGCTGACTTGTTTTCGGTGCAAGAAGATTGAGTCGTTCAGCACCGTATTTTCGCGCTTTAACCTCCAATGATTAGACCAGGTTTTACGTGTACCAATACACTGACCCCGCGATGGAAGAAGGTAGGCCGACCAATGACTTGGATGGGAATCCTCATCTCGACTTTGGTCTCAGTCGATGCCTATGGATTACCAGACTGGGATCTATAAGCCAACAAACATGTTTGGTTGGCGACTCCTGCCGACATCGACAGGAGCCAAGCACAGGAACGTTTGTGTTATTTCATTGTACCTCTCCATCCCGCCTAGTCACCCGTCTAACGACGAGTTCATGCTCGGCGGATAAAAAATAGTGCACAATACTATTATGTGCCCCTTACTGCTAGCAAGCAAAGTTTATTGTGGTATGATAGTCGGCGCTTATCAACCATAGCAAATAAGCAGAGTGATGATCAAAGTCGAATACCCTGCCTGACTTGCAGTTTTATCCAACAACTGATCGACACTAATATGCTAAGATGATGACCACAGAAACGCGAGCGACAGCAATGGGTAACAAAAGGTCCGACGCCCAATTGGAAGCATTCGGTAAAGTGTTCACGTTGTGTCGTGAATAACCCATGCAAATTCGGATCATGTCACCGTTAGATATATGGTTGGCGGCATCCGGATTTGCCTATCACTGTGGGTAGCCACAGGACGCCTGTGCCTAAAAAGGGACCATAGATGGCTTGCGCTGCAGCACCCAAAGCTCTAACAACACACCCTACATCCAGTGTATACCCGACGGAATAAGACCGGGAGGCATGTGGATGACAGCCACGTTTCATCAGCTGAGCCGGCCCACACTCATACACAGGTAAACGAAAGCACGTTGTATTTGGAAAGCAAACGCATACAAGGCGGTGGCTAGACCGTAGTCCGCTCCACACTGGGTGTATGGAACCACTCTTCGAGCCTAGCCCGGTCAAAGGGACCGTTCACTCCGTATCCTTACAGCAACGACCAACTGTCTCCTGGAGCCAGTATGGAAGAGGTAGTGGGTAATAGACAGGTAGGCACCTTGTCAACATGCACATCAAGCGCATCCACAACGGGGGTGTCAAAGAACATTCAATCTCTTGAAACAACGATAACAAATAAACCGAATCGAATAATGCATTCAGAGTGTGATGTCGACCGACCAGCAGCTACCCAATGAGCTTCGTATCCGAGTCTCAAAATCAGCGACGGCATTCGGGAAGCTAGAGTATCGAGTGTGGAACAATCATCAGCTTACCATTGGCACGAAGCTGATGGTGTGCAAATCCATGGTGCTGTCCGTTCTTCTATACGGCAGTGAATCGTGGACGATGTACCGGCGGGATGTGCGATATCTCGAGCGGTCCCATCAGCAGTGTTTGCGACGGATTCTGCGCACTGTTTGGTGCGACAGAGTTACGGCCACGAAAATTTGCGCCGAAGTGGAATGTATGCAGTGGACTGCATACTTTTATGGAGACACCTGAGGTGGCGCGATTACGTGTGGCGTATGGATTCGACGCGGATAGCGAAACAACAATTATATGGTCAGCTGAGTATTGGGAAGCGGCATACGGGAAACCCAAGCTACGTTACCAGAACATGATCAAAGTGAGCCTCTCACGTTCTTATCTTGATTGCTGGTCATGGGAATCGAAGGCGGTTGATCGGCGTTCATGGTGCGATCGGATCACGAAGGCAGTTGCCGAAGTGCGGGAGAAAGACCTCATGCATGCAGAGAAGAAACGGCAAGCGCGGAAGCGGCAAGCACTGATGGGTTGTACTCTATCGAGCGCATGGTGCTGTAGTACATGTGGTCGCCCGTGCCTGAGTCACGCAAGCCTAGTGAGTCATGAGGGAGGCCACTCGGGACCACCACCGAAGCGACGACGGGTCCTGCAGAGAACGTAGGCAGAACCGGCGCAGCGTTTGTAGGTACGCTGCATTCGATATCGGACAGTGGGTCATGGACTGTATGTCATGATATACTTTTGTACTATCTAAAATGGCGTGTACACACATTTATTTAGGTATCACAAGAGGGTGAGTTACGTATACTATTCTCTCCACCTCTATGAACAAGCCGGTTGTCTGCTAGGGTTAAGGCTGAGGAAATCCCAGGTAGATGTGCAAGGGAGAAACTGAGGTCACCGGATCGTGCACCGACTGCTAGCAGTGTCTCAGCGAACGAATCCCGTGCATACAAGATAGATTGTAGTAGCGAAAGACTGTCAGTTCTGTTGATATGGAGACATCTTAGAAAAAACTGCGTGTAAAGTTTGTGGAGCTACGTGTAAGGCGGGACTTGAGAGTGAACAAGCTTCATGAGATTAACTCAGCGTTTGTTGGTGTGCTGTAGGAGGCAAACATATTGACAACGGTTGGTTGAATGTACATCCCAAGTGCGAGATGTGTTCTCCTCATGTGACAAAACTACTCACACAACGCAGTTTCATAAGGAAAGGGAGTGTTTGAGCTAACAAGATCAAGGAAAATGATTTCAGTACTACCTGAGTGGAATGGCGCGTTCTACGTCGGGTTTCAACCCTTGATGACCGTCGCACGGGATGAATGACAGGCGGTGATGAAGATCGTGAAGAGCTGGAGGAAGAGGAGGAGATAACAGCGCCCCCAACAGTACCGGATACCCGGATGTTGAGTGGGGACAGATCGACGCGTAAGGCCCCACCGGTGGAGGTCAAGGGCAGCGTATCGACAGACCCGGTCTCCCCTTGGCGTCGAATCGACGGTAGGGTTGCAGAAGTGCGGCGACGGCGGAACATAGAGAATCACAGTTGGAGTCGGAAGTGGGAACACCGCCGTACGGGGGAAGGGATGGGCTAAAATGCGATAAGAGGATAAAGTAGAAACTACTTCTCATGAAGCTAAAATGCACGTATCAGGAAGAAGAAAGGAATCGCGGGAGTAAGTATATTGAGGAAACAGCAAACAAGCTATAAATTATAAGGATTGACGTAACATGTGACCAGAAGAGGCGCATGGCAATTAGATAATGTGAAAGTTAATAGCAAGAGGAAGCAAAGTTGTAATGCAAGATAATCGGTACGCGGATAAATTGGATTTGAGCGTTTTGATTTAAGCAACGGAATGAACTCTGCTACAGAGAAAGTGGGATAAGCACGAGAGCACACAGATGAGAGAAATTAAAGCAACTGGTCAATTCGAGATAAAACAAGTGGCAACGAAGTATACAAGATAAACTTCGCAAAGTTAGGGCGCAATACTTTGTGTCGATCTGTACAGAGAATGATAACTAGGGGGTGGGGTAAAAAGTAAGGAAAAGTCAGTATCCGTCTGCCCAGGGATTTTCTTCCAAATAGGCATGAATGACTTCCTTCATACTCAAATTGGGAATCAATTGGTTCTCTGTCAATGGTTGACGTGATAGTGGATCAAAATGACCAACTTTCCGCAAATGGGCAATAATAGATCGCCGGTCATATGTGATGCCGCTGGGTGTGATGACCGGGTCCAGCATAAGCTCGAAACTGATACGGCCACAAAGGTAATCGGGTACTTCGCGCTTTTGGCGGCGATTGTCCACCTTGGAGAAGGGTGTAAAGAAAACGGATGACAAAATCACATAAGATACAGCCCTGTATAGGGATAAAAATGGGGCAAGCAACCGCTAAGAGGTGGAACCAGAGAGATAATCCGCAGACCTAACAAAAAGGAATAAGTTGTAGATAGTCACGAAAGTGGAATGTCCGGACCATAAATGCGAAGTAAGATTGAAAACAGCAACAGAAGCGGAATGTTATTGACCGTGTGAGGATGACTACTCTTTGTAAATAGTTTGAGAGCCAACGGGTAAATGTGACATGGGTCCTACCAGATGCTACAAGCCAGGACACCCGTCGAAGGAAGCCACAAATGCGAGGTCAATTAAAGGAAGCAACTGTAATGTAGAAAAGGTCGGCGCAATTAGAAACAAACTAATTAAGCAGACGATTGCTTGGATGCTTAGATGATTCTAATTCATATGGAGAGGGAGGAAGTGGGTAGATCAAGCGAAAGTGCACTGCATATAAGATAAATAGGGTGTGACAAAAAATAATGGCAAGATAAGAGAACGCTGCAGTGTGTTATAAGAAGTCCGTGAGAGAAAACACGGAGGCGACACCATGGATCCCCGGAGGTGTTAAATGCACTATCCATTGCACAAAATCAAAGCGCAGCCTCATAAAAAACAAAAGCTACAACTTCTTGAGAAGTCAAAACGTTAAGTTCATAGGTACCAAACGAAAACTTTTCACAAAAGTTTAGCGTAAGAGTAGACACGAAGGTTTATATATATATATATATATATATATATATATATATATATGTATATATATATATGTGTGTGTGTGTGTGTGTGTGTGTGTGTGTGTCGGGAGAGTCCATGGTGCGTCGAGGCTTGTCGTGGCGAGATTCTGATAGATCGTTGACCCGCTGTTCCCAACCGTTTCCGTGGACTCGTCCTCGACGCATCATCATAAACAGCAGTACATCAGCCATTCGAACTGATGCTTCGCTGCCATACCACCTCAACGACCTACGAAAAGAAGAGTAATACGAGGCAGACAAAGTGAAATTACCGGAAAACCTTAATGCCCTAAGCAAACATTCAGAGTCAAGGCGCCTACATCTCGCCAAAAACATGCCATGCCAAACATCTGGCTATCGTGCAAAGATAAGGCAGCATAAGCGAGACAGTTTCCTTGAGGCTTTCATTGCCCTGCGTCATAAACAGCCTTTACCTTGCAGGCAACTCAGCACCAAACACACTTTAAACGGGCAGTCCGACTACGTGTTGACGACAGCAGACGCGCCACTGGTGTCAGCTGCTAGTCATGTCTTGTACAGTCTGGAGCCAAGCACAAGGCGCGTCATGTGGACTCCAGCCTGGAAGGCGAGACGGATCGACGGCACTATGGTAGTCAGTGACTTGATTTCCCGCTGCCAAGTCAACTTGTGTCCACCTCGACCCTTGCGCCACTCTACATCTGGCGGACTAAACAAGAGGCTCCTCAGTAAGCGGTGACCAGGCATCCACAGTACGCGCTCAAGCCGACGCAACATATTCAGTGCTATTTGATTATCACTGCCTACCACTCGCCTAAGCACATCAGCGTTGCGGACACGTGGGTGCCACTCGACACCACACGCTCTTTCCTAATCCGGGATTCCCGTTCCGCAGTGAGGCGACGAACGAGAATTAAGGCTAGTACTTTCGTCACAGCCGGCGTCCGGCTAATATCTCCATAGTTAGCACAGTCGGCGCGACTGCCGTTCTTGTGTACTGCCACCATAATCGATTCACGCCTCTTTGTTCCAGACATGTTCGAACAGAGAGGTTGGTGCTTTGCACAAGACCTCACTTCCATCTCTAACTATTGGGAGGGAATCCGGACCAGCAGCACGAAGACGAATGAGCGCCTGAGACGGCAATCGATCATACCAAATCCATACATTGCCATTCAACCAGAAGGGCCACTAATGCTGCGTAGATTCGAGTGTACCTGAGTTCGTGCGTGTTTGTGTATCAACCAATCAGTGTCCCAAATAGATTCGCTTCGAACTGGAAATCGTTTGTACGTTCATATGACTCCTATCGCAAACAGTTTCTACGTGCACACGTGCTGAGTGGAGTGTACCGCTTACGCTTCCTACTTAAGTTTTTCCTACTATCATACAGCTGTTCGGATTTCGCTTGTGTAACAGGCTGTGATCGCGTTTCAGACCTCAGCCTCTGACGGAACCACTAAACCAGTGGTTCTCAACCTGGTGGCAATTAGGGGATAAATATAAGTAAGGATATTAGGTCATCAATCTGTCGCCATACGAAACTAAGGACAAAGTTATCAGTATCAAAACAGTTAACTAACTACATAATAACTGTTAATTAACCATCATTGACTAATCAGTAGTGAGTGTCTAGCGAATCAGACAATTTTCAAAAATAAACTTTATTATCTAATCTACGAATGCAAGCTTGCAAAGTACCGTAGCTAGATGGCACCTCTGTCGGCTCAGTTGTTGATCGTTGTTCTTTTGGGCCAGGCAGCCGTTCGCGGGGTCGAATTAAAGAGTTGAATGAACAGAGTTGGGAGCATAGGTAAACTGACCAAGTAAAGGAGCGTGAGAATGTTTATGAGGTAGTAGGGACAAGAGACGATTAGTGAACAGGACGTATTGACACAGAGTGGTGGTGGTGGAAACCTGTCATCCAGGATGGACTTGGAATTGATGGTTGTTGAAACAAATGAGAAATCACCGGTATCTGTTCATGTTTGATCAGGGATCACACACCAAAGCAAGGAAACGAATGAAATTAGAACACAGTGCTTAATGTGCATTAGGCGAAACCGCACTAAATATACCACAAATTGTTAAAACTAAGCAACATCAGCCGTTACATTAACTTACATCGCCACCTGATTTAATGAAATGTTGTTCAAAATAGGTGTTCTTGTTTGAATGATAAACTGCAATTTTCCGTTAAGTAGAACAAAAAAGACAATAGTTAAGCAGCTTGTTAAACTATATATTTTTGAGGGTAATTGTTTGTACTGAACCCGCTTTGATTGAGAACCACTGATCTAAACTAACCGTCCATGGCTCATCTGGCATCACCTGAATAGAGAGAGGTCCGGAAGCAGGAGGCTAACTGAACTGGTCTTGAAAGTGCACCGCCCAACGGGCTCCATATTGTGAATCATGCCACACGCACTCTCTCCGATTGTCTCACTGACGCCTGGTTCCCTGGGACCAGTGGTGCGGATCAGCTGGAAGAGCTTGCGATAATTGTCTACTACTCCTGCCTCTACCATTTCTTGAGCCCGACTGGTCCACCAGGCTTCGTTGTCAGCACGCAGTATCTGCTTTAGTTTGCACCTAATAGCCCGTCTGGTCACATAGTGCAAAGGCAGTCGGAAGTTTTCTTCTGGATTCCAACAGGTTCACAGGCTTCTCGGATATTCAGTGACTAATGCGGTGACGATTGATAGTACGACAAGCAGACGCTCCTACGTCGTGCATGGCGGCAGAGATCCTATTGCACTGAAGCTGTGTCATTAGGACAAGAGAGTGAAAGTTCGATCCGCAGTGCATCTTGGTAGGCCTGCCTGACCGAAGGTTGAGAAAATTTCCCAGTTGCCATCGACGAAGACGCTTTGTGCGCCTCTCGGTAAGGCTCATAGAAAAACGACAGTGTACCAAAGCATGATCAGAGTTGACGCAAATAAACCAGAACGAGCGGCAATCCAGGATGGAACCACGCAACGTGATATATTTTGGTGCATCGCTGGCCAACTACAGGATGATATCAAGTGGCACTTCGGCACCCACTGTATCTAAAAGCGGTGCTACTAAAAAACCGTCCTTATGCTCGTAAAAGAAGCTAGTCCAGGCTCTACAGTTTCCCTGGCTCGGGAAAACGGGGGATACTGAGGTCAAAGATATGAGGTCAAACTCCGTAACATGTAAGTAACTTGTTTCGATTTTTCGTCTATGTTACTTGTACTCTCTTTCCAGTATTCGCTCTATATATGATTGTACTGGTCTGATGATGAATCATTGAGAGCAATTGCTCACCAAACGGTCTGCTTGTTTTCATCTACTAGGAACCATCTAGTGCTTTGTGCACAGTTGCAACAGACGCTCGCCGTTGTCCGTCCGTTTGGAGTTAAGCCCATACTTACCACCTAGCTGAGCTTCTGAAGAGCGCAGACGACCTACTTGCGCATTCATATCCCAAGCAAGTGCTGTGATACAGGAATGGTAGAACTGCGTAGTAACGGGTTCAATTCCTGGTCGAATGTGTCTTTGGCAGCATCAGAGATGCAGTCGAAGGAGGCATAAGCGGAAAGCACAAACAAACAACGGCTTGTACCACTTTGTGAGTCAACCTTAGTTGATGTCGTCCAACGGGCTGCGCCCAAACGGCTGGTCACAAGAATCCAATCAACCAAGGACGACTCAGCCTTGGAGCTGAGAACGATGCCTACTCCAGCTTGACTCGTGAGTCCCGCATCAGTGTCTCCGGATGCGAGCAATCAATAGCGAAAGGACAACCCAGGCGCAGTTAATTCACTAACCGCATGAAGGTCACTGATCCTAGTTTCGGATATGCAACACAGTCAATACCTAACATGTCCAACGTGCGTGCCGGTACATCCTGTCGACTTATTTGTCGTAGAGTAGGAAGGTTGAACGTCGCCAGCGAAACAAGACATCGTGGTCGTATAAGAGGCCATTGCGGATTGGCGTCGTGAGTGGTGCGGAAAGGGACCTGCAGATGGTGTGACTCCAGTGGGGTTGCGGCTGCTGTAAATTAAGCTGGTAAGTACAGAGGGAAGATTAGTAATGGGGGTTGGGAGGGAAGTAAGAGAAACAGATGGATAGAAAAGAAAAGATGCGCCACCAGTAGCATGTTTTCGCTTATCTGTCGACATTTGAGAAGATGTGCGACAGCCGATGCAGGGTGTGGTTTGAGGTTGAGGAAGTAGGAATGGTTGTATGTGGGCTGATACTGTCAGGGCGGCCAGACTTAGACAAAGC